ACCAGACATGCCTCTACTACCAGGTGGCTCCTCTCCACAATCCCACAACTGCAGACACACATCAGCTCTCTCAACATCAGCCTTACCATCCTGCTTTCCCAGACAATCTGGACACTCCAAAGGCAGGAGCTGTATGCCCACACTGCCTGGGCCAGAAAATGCAGACCAGGTATGAATGAATGAGTGAACATTTATGAAGCACTTAGGAAGTGCAAGGCCCTGTGCTAAGTGCATTGCAGACCTCATCTCATTTGCTGCTATGGCAGCCTTACAGGGAAGGTGCTGTCATTAGCAGTGCCATTTACAGATGAGGAAATGAGCTAAGAGGCATGGAGCACCATCAGGCACCCACGTGGTACATTCCGGGAGGTGGTGGCTCACACTTATCTACTGAAGAATCCCAGTGGATGCCTCCATGAGGCTCTGCCTCCCACCCCAGCTTCAAGTTGGGGGAAAACAGAGAAGCCCTTGGCTCCCTAGGAAGAAGGTGGAGGCAATCCTGGCACCCCCTGTACCATGAGATGTCCTGGTGCTGTCCATCTGTTTGTGGACAACCCAACTCAGGAAGAGGAAAGACCTGGCAAAGATGATATTAGGGACAAAGACAAGAAAACACAACAGAGTTGTCACCGTCAATGCAGATGGAGGCACTGGGCCACTTGCTCCTCAAAGAGATTCAGAGCTGTCTTGGGTAAATCCAAATGGAATCTAACTCCACTATGCTCCATCCCTAAAGGTACCCAACACCTGACCAACCAATGCTAACATGCTTCCACTGACAAGCTTGTATACTATCACTCCAAACTAGGCAAGATCTCAGCATTTTCTCCTTCCTCTTGATGAATCTACTTCCTGGGAGGTACTAGGGGGATCTGCTCTCCAAGAGGAGCTAATAGGGCCAGTATGAGGGTCTCTCTCTGCCTCCGCAGTGCCCCTGACACCCTACTTTCCTCCATACAGAACCCTACCTCCTACGGATTCTTCTGAATGACCCCTTCTTTCTCCTCCTGTCCCCTAACATGAGGCACAAGACTCAAATTTAGCAAGCCCTCTGGAAGTAGAAAGGTTTTCCTCTGGAAAACCAGAGAGGTAGATCTGTTTAGCCAAAAACCCACAGGAAGTAAGTGACCATCAGGACCTTACCTGCCTGGTTCCCATCACAGGATTACAGTCCCTTCCTGGAATGCTAGACAAGACTGGAAATTCTCCAGGACACCCTCCTCTTGCCCTAAAAGGTGCCAATGGGAAGGATACAAAGACAATTGCCTGGCCTGGGGAGGGAGCAGAAGGCTGCTGCTATGAGGTCAGCATGCTGGGAACTCTACAATCCATGGCTGAGGAGAAATAGAAAACATCACTCCTCCAGAGGATTCCCTGGCCTGAAGCCATTTCCCCAGGGTATGTGTCCTTGGCTTCTGAGCAAGGTGAGGCAGGCGAGAGCTATGTGTGTGCAGACAGGGTGTATGCATGTGAGGAAATGCATCACAGCATGTCCTTATGCATGTGTGCGGGCATGGGCAGGTATGTGTGTATGAACAGAGGAGGACATGCTAAGCAAAGTCCCAGGAAAGGCAGTGCTTATTCTCTAGAGCCAGCAATACTGGGTCTTAGGCAGCAGACACTCAGCAGGGAGGCTCACAGGATACCTGCAGGAATCAAGCAGAGGTGACCATAGGCACTGGAGTTCCAAAGGTCCAGGCCTTGATGCTTCAGGCCCTCAGAGGAGAATCAGGCTTACATATCTCATAGGATCCTAAGCACCCAGCAACCATCTACCAGGTCTACCTGGCACCTGACTGCATCCTGACAAGATGGGAAGAGGGTTCTTCCCTCATCAGGAAGACACCTGTAACCCCTCCACATGAAGTTGTGCCAAGGCCCAGGGAGAAGAGGGCAAATGGGTAAAGGCAGCAGCAGGGCCCAGTTGCAAAATAAGCCCCTCATTTTGCATATGATCATCTAGGTCATTCATTCCTACCCCAAGACAGGCTTCTAGGAAAACAACCTAGTCTCCAAGCAGGGACTATGGTGCTCCAGAGCCCTGAATAAGGTCTAGTTAAGAAACTTGTTTTATTCATTCACTCACCAAAGAACACCTACTGTGTGTGTCAATCACTGTTTCCTGACCTAGGAGAACAGCCTGAACCAATGAACCCAAACAGTGGGGCAGGAGTGGGAAGGACAGGCTGTAAGGAAATACAGAGCACAGCCTGCTGGTGGTGATTAGCAGGGAAGAGGGAGTGACCTTGGCAGTGTGGGTTAAATATTGATCAGCAAAGCTTCAGTGAGATGACCTTTGGGTAAGGCCCCAAGGAAGTGACAGATGGGCCTTGCAGAGAGCAAGGGATGAGCCTTCCAGGTGAAGGAAACAGTTTGTGCAAAGGCCTTGAGGTTAGGGTGCGCCTAGCAAGGTGGAGAAATGGCAGAGATGAGTCTGAGGGTGGCTGGAGCAGAGTGAGTGAGGGACCAGTGGTGGAAAATGCACTCAAGAGAGCCTCAGGGGTCAGACAGTACAAAGCACTGTAGGCCACTGTGAAAGGTGGACCCAAATTTGCGGAAAACCTAAAGCTTAAGAAATTTGGGAGGAAATCCTTAAAAATAAAGTAGGATTACAAATAGCATTCAGTGCCTCAGAAAGAACCTGAGGGGTCCAGACACATGTGTGCGGCTTGTCTTGCTGTAAATCCACCTCTGGTTGCAGTGAATGTAACTTTTCCTTGGAACAAGAAGGACATTCAAAGGAGTATTTTGTTTTTCACGTATTCACTACAGGGTGTACAGGGTCTCACTACACCGATCAGATTCACAGTGGTCCTTCCTGTTTTTCAGCCTCCCAAGTGCTGGGATTACAGGTGCTCACCACCACACCCAGTCTCATTCGCCTTCTCAGCTCAGTGTGCCCCGGGGGCAGGGCTCAAAGGAGTTTTGAGCAGATGAGTGACAGGACCTGCCATCTCAATAGGCTTGGACAGCAGAGGATAAGCTGGGGCCAGGGTCTGGGCAGGAAGAAAGTCAGGAAACCAGTGAGAGACCTGGCCAGGCAGTGGCAGGTAAGGGGTAAACAATGAGCAGATTCTGAAAACACAGCTGAAAAGATCTGCAGGTGGAGCGGACGTGAGGTGAACGGTTGGCCCTGAGATGCAGACCTAATGGAGTTAGCCCACAGAGGTGAGAAGGCCACCTTCCTGAGTCAGTGTTCCTAAGTCTACAAAGAAACCCACATGCAAAGAGGCAGAATAACTTGCCATAGGTCACAGAACCAGTAAGTTCCAGAGCCTGTATTCCCAACTCTGAAGTCAGTATCTATTCAAATACACCAAAAAAACTTGAGTTTGGGGCCCAGGTAGAGGTTTCTGGGTGTGAGGCGTGTTTGGTAACCAGAGGATCCCTCAGGACAGCTCTGCACCTAACCCCAAAGAGTTGTACATACAAAGAAAACTCTCAGTGCTCCTTGCTTTTCCTAGACTCTGTTTCTGATTCCTCTAGCTGGGAGATCTCAGCTGCACTCTTGGGGCAATGTTTTTGGCATCTCTCAAGTTTTGTTAATTCACTGACAAGGTAATGACTGCCTCAATCCATTACACACATTCTCTAAAGAAGTGTCTGCTTTAGAATGCAAAGCAGGCCTCCTCTGACTTGGAGAAAACCTGAGATTCCAGGGATTTATCTCCTAACAAATTTATCACTTAAAAACAATTCATTGCATTTAAACTGATAGGAATTGATGGTCCCAGATACACTCTTTTAACATGTTTAGTATCCAAGTAAGTCTCCCACTGTCACTGCAATCCAAGTGGCTCAAATTGATAACTTTATTATTGTCATTATGGCCTTGGAAAGCATTAGCCCATCATTTGGGATACCCGGTTCCTCTCGAGTTCACCTAGCAGAGCCAAAGTCACCTCTGCTGCTGTGCTTGCTTGGAGCCTGCAAGGACTGCATGCATCTTCCCATCTGGAACCCTAGGATGGCGCATCATCCACCATCGTGGGCTTTGTCCTTTTCTAACCACAACCTTGTCACACCAGAACAGCCCAGGCAGCCAAGCTAAACAATCCTTTCAGCCCTCCCCTAGCTCTGCTCCCAACAAAAACTGCCAGCAGGAGCAGATATTTGATCTGTCTCAGGAGCTCTGAGCCCAGATGTTCAACTCAGTGTATCAAAAGCTCATGTTTCTGGTAATCAGCGCCTACAGACCCAATGTCCAACCCAGCCTCCCATCCTGGAGACAGTTAGGATCCATGCCCATGTGGACAAACCTCAAGAAGGTATGTGGGCTCTGCTTGGAAGCAAAGTCTCACTGAAATTGGCCCTTTAGAGTCTTCATGCCAGTGGCACGGATGACATGCACTAGGGAAGTGCTTTCGGGCCACCTGGAGTGGACAATGCCTCCCCCTAGTTCCCAAATGTCTGCACCTCCTTGCCACCTAGACCTGCTTCCCTTCCTTGTCAGAATCTGAGAGTTTGGAAGGAGCCTAGAAACATTCCATAAGAGAAAGACAACAAATGATAATCCATGAGGAGAGTGTCCAGTCTACCTAGTAAGCCTGATTTCTCTCCAAAGAAATCGTGGCTGTACTTCACTGCTAAGAAGGGAAGCAGGAGGCTACAAATTCAGTTTTTAAAAAAGTGTTTTTTTTTTTGTTGTTGTTGTTGTTTTTTGTTTTTTCTGCTAACAAAATGAGGTCAGGCCCAAGAGACATACTATTGAGGAGGGAAGATGCTAAAAGGCCCTTGTCACACTCATAAAAATACAACAAAGTTCTCAAATGCAATAAAGCCCTCATACTTTCTTGTATAAAAAATCTTTTCAGCCCAGAGGATGGGTCAGAACTGTGTACTGAACTCCTTAAAGTATACCACTGCAGAATATTAGTCACTACCAGAAATTAGACCCCTAAACCAAAACCAAGTGATGGCACACTGAATACAACCCATCCAGCCAAGAGGCTCTTCAGTGGGGGTGGTGAAACCTGCCATTTTTTCTCATAGTTGTGGTCACCAAAGTGGGGCCAGGAAATGGTATGAAGAATAATTAGTGCCCAGATAATACCTCTTCTTTTGAAGGGATGACCACAGGTGGAAACTGTGGCAAAACCAGCCTGAGAGGTCATCAGCCCAACCCTCTTGCTGGACAGAGAAGAGCAGCTAAGGCCTGAAGAGGGAGCGCTGTGGCTCAGTCAGTGGAGTGCTATAAGAGATCGCCCCAGTGTTGGCCTCTCCCTTCCCATGAAGCTACTTCCCAACTTAGACTGTCATGACTGAAAGGTGGCCCCCAGAGTCACCTTACAACCTTGCCTGGCCAGTGAGGATACAGAGGTCCTGGAATTCCCCACAGGAGGAGGAACATGATAGGCAGTCTTTCAAATGGCTCTCAACCCTCAAAACTGCTGAGAAACCTCACTTTCTAAGAGTAATGGTTTCCAAACTTTATATTTTTAGCAGCAAAAGCCATCTTCCAAGCAAAACCTCAAGCTATAAAACAGATCAGCAGGTGCCTGCCTGAGCACCCCCCCCACCTCCAGCATCCTAGACTCCTTCCATTGGGCCCTGTGTGGAACTGTTTGAAACCCCAGGCCTCTGGGGTCCTCAGTACCCTCGAGCTAGTGCTGCCAGATGGAGTGGACTTCTACTTAAGACCCCTGGAGGGTATGGCTGGCCTCCGAGACCTGGACAACTTCATTTTCCACTAGCATTTGGCCTCTATCCCCGTTCAGCTGTCTCATGCGCAGGTTAATGGAGCCATAAGTCTTCCTGGGGCCTCTGCCAGGGACGAAGGTCTGCCTGCGGTACAGCTCCCCTTTGCACAGGGAGACCATGAGCAGCACTGACAAGAGCATGCCACCCACTGTGAGCAGCCCCAAGCCTGCGATGATGCACTTGTCCAAGTAGGAGCCCAGGCGGGCGTAGTACATCTCTAGTCGCTCCATCTCCCTTGCAGTCACTGTGTCTGGGTTGACACGGGCCTCACGGGGAATGGCGTATGCTGTCACCACCAGGAGGATCCCACTCACCAGGAAAACCAGAGCAGAAACGAAGCCATAATCCACAGGGCGACTCACAGGCTCCAGACCTGGCCCTTCCTCTGAACACAGGGACAGATCATCCCGCTGGGACCAAGGCAGTGAGGAGACACCCCCTGGGGGACTAGGAGAGCTACCCAGTCTGGCATCTCCAGGGTTCTGGAAACAAGTCTCATGTTCCTCTGAGGAGAAACAGGCATTCTCCACACCGGACCTGGGTGGGGCTGCCAGGCCCAGAGGAGGCGGTTTCCTGGGGACCTGAGGGCCATTGCTCAATGTCTTCAGTTCCAGACCAGGGGGAGATGCCATTGAGAAGCAGGACAGCAGCTCATCCCTGGCCCACTGGCAGCTAGAAAAGAAAAAACAAAAAGCCAGGTAAATTGAACAAATGTCTCCCAAGGATTGTTGGCTCTGGACATTGCATTTGTCCAGAGCACACCTACACCCTGGAGTATGATGCATGCTAAGCTCTAGCCCCCCACTGATTAGCATATGGCTTTAGGCAATCCATTTATCTTCTCTGAGCCTCAGTTTCCCCATATATAAAATTACAATCATATCACTGCTTCCTATTGCACAAGGCTGACATAGGGATTGGGATGACCTGTACAGAGTAGCAGCAGAATAAGTGTCCAGTAAGTGTCAGTGATGAGCTGTTATCATGATGGAGAAACCTGGACAGTGTGGCTGTTGGGTTCAAGTCCTAGTTTCCCCACTTGATCTTAGGCAAGTGATGGAAGCGTCTCTCCACACTCAATATTCTCTCTGTAAAACAAGAAATAAACAAAATGCCTTCCTCATGTTGTTGTAAGAATTCCATAAATGAATGTACAGAAAGCCCTGATCAATTACATTAATGGGCATTACTGTATGAGGAGAGGATGATGTGGCAGGGAGAAAGGATGGTGCTGGAAATGACTAAGGTGTCACCAGAACACAGAAAAGAAAGCAGGGGAGCTTCTGGGAGTTGACATCATTTGAGCCAGACCTCAGAAGAGTAGGAAACTCCCCAGCAGTGAAGTAGATGGATGAAGGTATTCGGGAAAGGTCAGGGGTGAATCTGAGGCTGGCTAGAGCTAGCTCACAAAAGACTTGGAAAGCCGGTACTGGAGCAAGGAGTGCTGAGATCTACCTGGGTTAGAAAGTGGGACAGGTGGTTTAGAAGGGATAAGGTCCAGAAAGAATCTGATGTGGTAGACAAGGTTACAAGAAAGGTGCAGAGTAAGGTCTTAAGCCACGTGGAAAGGTGGATTTAAACAGTGGGACTGAAGGCTTGGCCCAGGAGAGCTGGGAGAGGAGTGAGAAAGAGGTACTCCCTGTCCTGCAAAGCAGGTCTCTTCCCCCAAGTACCTGCATCCACACCATACCGCCAGACACACAGCACATGTGGTTTGCCATCAGAGGGCACCAACTCAGCCCTTGGGCCAGGAACCACCCCCTCCCATGAGCTTTGTTTTGCTTCTGGCCTATTTATTTGTTTTTGGTGAATTTATTGCTGATATATAAAAAGCTAAAAATTTATACTTTAAACTCTGAAATCTTGGCTTCTCTTGCAAAATGTAAGAATGTGATGACACTGTGCTCCCCTCCCCTCCCAACTCTCAGCAGGACCTGGCCATCTCACCATCCTTGGGCAGGAATAGACTCTTCCCTATCACCTCCTTCAGCCACCCTCTCCACCTGGCACATGTCATTCCTAAGCTGACACCAGAACCATAAACACTCTGATGTCCTGAAAGCACATACCTTCCCGACCTCCAGTTTCTGGTGCTCTGGTGGCTACAATCACAAGTGGATTCTGTGCATTCTCTAGAGCTCTGTGACACTGTGTGTGTGTGTGAATATGAGCAAATGAATGAAGCAAAAATGAATGAGATGAGTAAATGAATGAAATTGAAAAAGGTTAGGACAAGAAAGCATATTTTCCAGTCTTTCTGAATTTCCTTCCAATATGAACTTGCAGTAGACATCTCTTAGCACATATAGAGCCTTTCACCTGAGCATAAGGCATCTTTCTACTGACAACTCTTTCTGTCACTCACTATATTCCTCTTACCAGAGATCCCATGTAATAAATATTTCCTGACCACCTACTACATGCTGCACCCTGTATAGGGCACCTCAGTCAGGAGTATACTATGTAATCCTCACCAGACCCATGATGTCAGAAACCCTGATCTGTTTTACCAAACAGAGCCAAGATGCCCTGGCCTGGATGAGGGGGCCAGGAATTCTCTAAGAATCACTAGCTCCTACAAATCTGTACACCCACTCACTCCTGTCTCCTCCAGTCCTGGGGGTTGGGGGGATCCCAAAGTATTCAGGCCCCTGCCTAGACTTTGACTTCTCAGTGACTGAATAAGAAGTTATGGGAGTGCTGGTTAGCATCTGACGCTTTGTACTTCAATTCAAAAACAGGGCCCAGGACTGGGTCCTATCAGGACACTCAGATGTGTGACTGGCATCCTCGGGGCCTCCCACAGAACACAGCTCCCAGTGTAGACCTCTTCCCCAGACTGACACATTGTGGCCTCCACATGGGGAGTTGTCTTTCCCCATGCAGAGCCCAAAACTTTTTCCTTAGGATGCCTGTATGAGGGGACAGAGAAAATGGGGCTCTCCCACCCCAGCACTAGAATGTTTCCCTGCCAAGGATTCCTATGCCCACCAGTTCCACAAGGCCATGCCCATTAATTACCCAAGAATGAACAAAGACAATGTGACACACTATTCACAGTCTACAACCGTATCTGTTACTCCAATTCCATCTGCAGGAGCCAAGTCCCGAAAGACGCACTCCAGTACTCCAGTTCTACTCTCATCCCCACGGCAGTATCCATAGACCTGCGAAGCCCAGCGAGGGTAGAATTGGTTACGCAGGGATGGGGTAGGGAGAGAATAAATTACCCCCAGCAATGCTAAGATCCAACCCAGATCTACCAAGCTTTAGAGACCCAACACCTCACCCACGTTGCACACGAACACCTGGAGAGATTACAGACCTGCATCAGGGAAGGATGAAACCTCACAAAACCCAGTCAATAGGCAGACACACGCACGAGTTGTACACAAAGCCCCAGGGTGCGCTGATACGCACCGCCAGGTTCACGACGTTGTACCCAAAGTTCCACGCGGAACCTTAGCCCCCGGGACACCCACCGCACCTGCGCCCGCTCGCCTGCAGCTCACACCCCTGCGCCTGCCCTGACGGCAAGCGCCACGGCCCAGGCCAGGCCGGCTCGGCCCGCAGCGCCCGCAGAAGACGGTCAGGGAAGGCCGGGCTCGCGAGGCTGGCGCGCGCCGTGGCCCCTCTCCGCGTGTCCTTCGGCAGCCGCGAGGTCAGGACATTGTCCTTCGCCCCACTCCCCGCCTCGGCCCTCCGCCCGCAGCTGCTCTCAGCTCGTACCTGCGCGGGCCCGCTGCCTTCCCACGCACGAGGGGCTGGCGGCCGGCTGTGAGGGCTCGTCCTTCCGGGCGTCCGCCCCCTGCAGCCCGCCCGCTGCCCAGCCTCGGCCAGCTCCGCGCTCGCCCGCTCCGCCTCTGCTCGGCCGCTGGGGCGCACGTACCTGCTCGCGCCGTACAGCGGCTGCCGCTGGGGGCTCCGCTGAGGGAGGAAGCGAGGGTGGGCCCGACCGGGAAGGGGCGGGAGCTGGGATCCTCCCGCGCCTCGAATCGAGCTCCGCCCGCCGCCGAAGAGGCGCAGGGAGTTATCGCGGGGAGGGCCGGCCTGGCCCCGGCTAGGATGCACGTCCCTTCTCCTTCCCCTACCCCCGGGGCGCATCTGTCTCGTCCTAGCCGGCTGTAGTAACCCGGGCTTCGAACTCTCAGCCTTGGACTAGGGGGCGGGGAGGGGGAGGGGCTGGTGAAGACCCCGCCTCCGCCCTGGGGAGCCCCTGTTGCACTGAGCCCAGGTGCCCGCCCTTCTCACACACCTTTCTCCTGAAACGCACGCGCGCACACAATCCCGAGTAGAATCTAGGGTCCCCGCTGAGATTCCCGAGTCCAAAATATCGGGCTCTTCAGCCTCCCTGGCTCAATGGCGCCACCTGAAGGTTAAAGGAAGTGTCTGGGGAGTAGCTGCCCTTGGCGGGTGGGAGGGGGCGTGTTCTGGTGGCCAGGCGCACCGCACCGCTCTCCAAAGCCCAGCTGCAGTGCCTCCTCTGCTGGGAAGCCCACCTACCTCCCACACACCCCTCACCCCAGGGGCCGATCAGTCTGGGCCTACCTCCCTCCCCTGCTTTAGTGCCTTTGTCTCTGTTGCTATTTTCTGTTGGACAGCCTCCTCCATCAGTCTGGCAGCTGTTGAGGAACAGGGCCCAAGCCTGTTATTCCCATAGAGCCCAGCATGGAGGTATGGTGAACACGTAGAGAGTAGAGTGGCGGTCTCTGTTTCTTTTCTCAAAAGGGAAAGGTGTGTTAAATGAGGGTCCCAGAGCACAGAACTCAAGGGAAACATACAAGCGTGGGCTGACCCAACCTTTCCCCTTTCCCAAGTGAATTTGACCTTTGGTTATTTGTCAATATCAGGAAACATACAAGGTGAGCCTGGAGCATCTTACAGCCTCAGAAAATTTTAAAGGTTCAACACACACATACACGCATGCACGCACACTGATGGAAGATGCCAAAGCACATAGAGCAACTTAAAGAATTTCAATGGCTGTAATGAAAAATTTGAGCAACAAAATAAAGTGTATTGAATTGTAAAATTATATGAAATAAGTACGCATGGGTTTACACTGATATAAATAACTGAAAAAATAAATGAGCAAATGAAGAAATAAATTTCCCACAGAGAATTCCAAAAGGGTACCTATTTGGTTCCCAAGGAATGGGCCCATAACCCCTGAATCCTTAAGTGTAGCTTGCACAGTAACTTCCTTTCCAAGTGTACAAGATGGAAAGAGAAAGAAACTGAATTTACAGTGGAAAACCCTCATGTACCTGGTTGCCTCAGCTAAATGGCCATGGTCAACATCAAACTGCAAGTCATGTGTGGGGTGTCCACACTGGATATGACACGGTACAATTGGTGCTTTCTTCCTGTGGCCTTCAGCCTCCAACTCACGACTCTAGTCTAACCATGAGATAAACATCAGACTAAAGCCAATGAAAGATATTCTATACAATTTCTTACTAATTTTTCTCAAAAGTATCTAGGTCATTAAAAACAGGGAAAGTCTGAGAAACTCTCACAAGCAAGAGGATCCTAAGGAAACATCACAGTGAAATGTGCTCTGGTATATTGAATGAGCTCCTGGGACAGAAAAAGTACAGCGCATGAAAATGGGGAAATCTAAATACAGTATGGACTTTAGCTAATGATAGTGCATCAGTATTTGGTCATTAATTGGAACAAATGTACCACACTTAGGTAATGTGCTAATGATAGAGAACACTGGTGGTGAGATACATAGGAACTCTCTGCACTGTCTACCCCCCCCCCATCTCAGTTACTCTTCTCTTGTTGCTGGGACAAATACCCGACACTCAAAATTAGGGAAGGAAAGCTTAATTTAGCTCATAGTTACTGGAGGTTTCAGTCCATACTCAGCTGACTCCAAGGCAGAGTGACACATGGCAGAGGGAAGCTGTTCATGGTGGCAGCAAAGAGCAAGAGCAAAAGGAGAAGAAGCAGCTCAGGCAGCTAGCTAGCCTCTCTCCCCTCCTCACATTGTAATGCAAATTACCTACCACAGGGCACTTGTGGCACCCACACCCACAATAATCAGTCACAAACTCCAGAAGCCACCCATGACTACATGAGGTTTTGGGGGGACACCTAGACACAAACCGTAACACCCCCTTTTATAAACCTATAACTTTCCTAAAAAAAATTAAGTTGCCATTTTTT